GATACTGATCCACACAGTCTTAGAAAACCACTGCTCTCAGCGAATGTGGAGGTCAGACCATCCTGCAGCTGAGGCTCTATTGGAGAAACAGAGCCCTGAAGTGTAATTGAGTTGAGATGGGAGGCACCTAATGCAGAAAGGCATAATAATGACTACCAGGATGAAGGAACCCTGGTGTGGCCCTGTGGGCTAATGTATCAGACTGCAAAGTCGTTTGAACTGTAAGGTCAGTGGTTCAAGCTCACCAGCTGCTCCTTAGAAACCTTATACAGGGTCACTGTGAGTTGGAATTGACTCAACAGCACTTAACAACAACCACGTTGAAGCACTTACTATGTGCCGGATAGTGTTCCGACACTGTTTTAACAATCTATCTTTACAGTAATTTCCCCCCATTTTGCAGATAAAGTGACTGTGACTTTAGAGAACTAGCAAAAGTCACACTGCAGACATGTGCTGCACACCTGTCACTTGCACTGACCCACGACATAGAGATCAACAAGTTAATGTCCTTCTCTCTGGCCTCAGTTCTTTCCTCAATAAAATGAAGGTAACCCTTCCCATCTGCTTAAGAGAATCTGGGGTCTTAACAAGTCCTAAAGATCCAAAAGCAGAAAAAGGCCCCTTTGAGTTGATTCTGACACATGACGACCCCATGACAAGGGGTTTTCAATGGCTGGTTTCTCAAGAGCAGATCGCCAGACTTTTCTTCTGATGCACCTCTGGGTGGACTTGAACCTCTAACCTTTTGAGGGCCAGTCAATTACACTGCCATTTGTACCATCCAGGGGCTCTAGGAAATCCACTGTTTTCCCCAAACAGCAACCCCCAGTGAAGGCACTGCCTGCCCTTCCAGGACTCCTCAATAGGTCTGGAGGCCGCCTGCAAGATAAATCTGGAGTCTCTACCCACCTACCACTGGATGAAAAGGGCAAAGAGTGTTCCCTTCTGTCCTATACCCAGTACCCCCTACAAAGATCTCATTGTGTAGCTATCAATAGGAGCCTCTGTTTGATGGTAATAATATTATTTTCTACTGCTGATGTGTCATCCCCATTTTTAATTGAGGACCCGGCAGCTACATTTTCCTTTGCAGGCAATGCCACTGCGTGAGAATGAAGCCTCCATTCTACATCTCTGCTGCTTCCCTGGATGAAATTACGCTCTTTCAGCCTCCATGGACCTAAGGTAACCCCAGTGACGTGGGACAGGTAAAGACACATCTTCAGGTGCAAATGATGTGGCTGGGAAAACAGCCAAAAAGACGGGAGAAGGAGCGTGCAGGTGGATTTTACACAAATTTACTTGAACTGCTTGTTTCTGGAAGCATCAATGGACACATCCAGTGTTCTTTATCTGTTGATGGGGCTCTTAAGCATGTACTTCTGTTACCAATACCCATCAAAGGAAGCTACCACCTCATCGAAGGAGCATGTTTCAAATGCCAGTAAAGTCACTGTAAACTACTCCTCTTTGCGAGGTTTCCTTTCAGCATAGCCGTGACCTGAAGCAATCCAGAATTTATGACCAAGAAGCAAGAAAAATCATTTTATTCCATCATTTTTTATCACCACCATTTATCTCCTATGGACAGGCAGGCTTGTGAAAACTCTCTATAAAGTCAATCACCATAGGAGGTTATTTGCAAGAACAGCCAGTGGCTTTCTCTGATTGCAAAAGCGATGGAATTCAGGGTATGATCACTGTGTCCACACCAGTGCCACTTCTGATTACCTTCATTCTTTGAGCTTTGCTCCTGAAATCTTCCTACTTTTTACCCCAGTTTATTGCATCAGATTCCATATTAAAACATGCTCACCTTCTGTTCAACTAAGCAGACTCAGGAGTCTGCCTTTTCACTTCCCCTTCACTAGGGATCTGGCCATGAAGCCATCTGCTAACTATTCTGGTCTCCTGGGCCAGGTGACCTGCTCAGCAGGGTGAAGGATGGGTGGAGGTTTCCCTCACCCATACACGAAGAGGCCTGCCTTGAATGAAGAAAAAGCAGCTCATAGCCACTGAGGAAAACCTGAAGAGAAAGTCAGGGGGCCCCTGAACTGCTTCTCTTCAGTTAAGGATGATGGTATAAATCTGGGAAAAGGTAAGAATGGTGGCTGAACAACATCACTGAACCGTACAAGTAAAGATTGTTGAAATTTCAACTGTTTTGTTGTATAGATATTTATCACAAGAGAAAAATGCAGCAAGAAAAAAGAGAAAGAGTGAGAAAGCCAGAGGGGCTGACAAGAAGGGCTCTGCCTGTGTGGCCACAAGGGCGGGGGAGGGAAGCCAGGGAGGAGACAAGAGGCAGCTAGAGGCCAAAGAATGGGTCAAGTGTGAGGAGTGAACAGGCACATTCAGGAATGCATGAGAGGAGAAAACAGACTGGTGGGGTCTTTCCAATAAGTCTCACAGAAAACAGAGCCTTTATGTATCTGCTGAGAGAGTGCATTTGATTAGAGGCACACTGTCTCCAAGTTCAGTGCATCTCTAAATGTGTGAGAGCTAGAAAGGACATGGGGGATCCTGCCATGCAAATCCTTCATTGTGCAGCTGAGGTGACTTGTCCCATGTCACACTGTAAGTTCACATCAGAAGGGCACTAGGACTCCTGGTTGGGTACAAAGGGCTCTTGATCCACAAATTCCTCACTCACGTGCTACAACCACTGCAGGGGTCTGTAGGGTGCCCCCCGTAGCCCCCACCACTAGCCCCAAACTTAGAAAGATTATAATCTTGGAGGAGATTGTGCTTCTCCAAGCTGCCAATACCAATGCCATGTAAATCCTGACATAGTTGAGAACATGACAGGCTCTGAGAATGGCACCCATTAGGTTAGCAGGTATGTATGGCACCAGACAGAAGTTGTTCTTAAGTGCCACAAAGTCAGTTCTGCTATATAGTGTTTCCAAGGAGCAGCTGGTGGGTTTGAACCACTGACCTAGCGGTTAGCAGTCCAGTGCTTATCCTACAGCGCCACACCAGGAGTAGGAAGGCTTAAACTCTTTGCCTGAAGAGACTGGATCGTGATGAGAACGCTGAAATAGAAGTGAGCTGCCCCTGGTCCTTCCAACACTGGACAGACAAAGAAAGCACCATAAGATGAGCCTTAAAATGCAGGGAACTCAGACTAGGAAAGGTTGGCAAACAACATTCTCCTAGGTCAGGGATGATAGAAAAGAAGCTTAGAGACAGACCCCCCCCAAAGTCACAGATAGAAAGCAAGCATTCTGTAAAATGTTGCCTCTTCCCACCTATGAAGGAAGCTTCCTAAAACAACTAAGTTTTTTCTACTTTTACCTTCTCCTCATCTAAACAGTTAGCTTTCAAGGCAGTGTATGCTGACTTCCACACTGATAAAAATGTTAGGTGTTTGTTGTTTTGTTCTAATTTTTTTTTTTTAACTGTGTGTCTGACACAGGGATTACAAATTGGGCTGCAAACCTCAAAGTCAGATGTTTTAAACTACCAGCTGTTCCACCTGAGAGAGATGAGGCTTTCTGCTCCCATAAAGTCTTACAGCCTCAGAAACCCTATATAGGGTTGCTATGAGTTAGAACCAACTCCAAGGCACATAACCACCACCAAATCGTTGTGCAGCTTGACTACCTCCTCAAGAGCAAAAAGAGATTTTCCAAGGAGACAATTAGTAGGCACACTGGAAACTGAACATTCACAAGCTGTTTCATAGTATGTGTACAGTGAGTACTGAACATGTAACACTTTAGATTGAAGGAAAACTGCAATGCCCTGGGAACAAGACTAGAAGGGCAGAGCCAGCTGCTTCCTCACAGCCTAAGCTCCCACTGCTGATGACAAAGAAGGTGTGTAGAAGGCTGCGGCTTTCTGAGTGCAAACCTAAACTTTAAAGCACTCCCTCTTGCAACCATCAGCAGGCAATCTTCATATCTAAACAAAACAAAACAAAGGCCTAAATAGTTTCCATACAATTGATACCAACTCAGGGTGGGTCCCAAGTATTTCAGAGTAGAACTGTGTTTCACAGACTTTTCAATGGCTGGTTTTTTGCAAGTAGATCGCCAGGTCTTTCTTCTCAGGAACCTCTGTGAAAATTCAACCCATTAACTTTTCAGTGAGTGCTTAGCCATTTATGCTACCTAGGGACTCCTTCATATCTATTGTTGTTAAGTGCCGTCTAGTCTCAGCCCGTAGTGTAATGGTTACGAATCAGGCTGTGAAACTTAAGGTCAGCAGTTCAAAACTACCAGCCGCTCCGCAGGAGAATGATGAGGCTTTCTGCTCCCGTAAAGTAAAGCCTCAGAAACCCTGTACAGGGTTGCTATGGGTCGGAACTGACTCGACGGCACTTAACAACAATAACATAGGGGTTCAAACCACTGACCTGGCCATCTAGGGCATTATCCTGCAGCGCCACACATACAGAACAATTAATATCTAGGGTCCTTCCCTAAGTGAATTACCCAATTCCTTTTAAGTCAAACTCAGGCTAGGAAGTATCTCCCCAGTAGTCCCCATTTGTCTTTCCAGTGGGATAGAAGCTCTTGGTTCAACATTTCATTTGTTATGCCCTGCCCCATCATCATTCTGAGAAGATGCATTCACAGGAATTTTTAAATCAAAATCAGATACTTAAAGAGTGAAGGCTCAAAACTGATAACTGAGGATTACTCCCAATGCTGTGTTTTCAAAATGATCACAGTCAAATCACATTTTCACATTTAAGGGAAGGGGGGGGGGGATACAAAAGTTTCCAACCAGAGAAAGCAAGAAACCATGGCTTGTATCCTACTGAAAAGCTCGAGAAAGCCAAGCAGTATTCTCAAGACTCCAATTGAAAATTTACAGTACAACAGAAAGTAAGGGTAAGGAAACAGGAAAAATAACTAGCCCATCCTCAGCCTTTTATTTGGTAGATCGAACCTATGGTCTTTTAGAGGGAAAGAATCAAATCACACAGGCTCATTTTCAAATTATAATGGTTTCCAAGCACTTAAATTATTATTTTTAAATTGTCTTACTGATCATAGTAGTTCCCCCAGCCAGAGATGCCTTGGTCCCTTGGAAGAAGTCATCAGCAGAGGTCATTCCCTGATCAGGCATCTGGAAACGGGTATGAACATCAATTCCTCCCGGGATCACCATCCTCGAGTGGGCTTCGATTGTCTTCACCCCTCCTGGTACAATCAGATTTTCTCCTATTTGTCTAAATAAACAGGGTTGATGACAAGGGTTATACATGAAACATCTAAACCAATTGGATCAGACAGGTATTTTTATCAAGCCATAAACAATCCTTTTCCATGTTCCATGGACTTCCTGATTACTGTCATTATTCATAACATAGGCACACCCTACTCCCATAAAAGAATGGTTGTACAACTTAAAGAATGTAATCAATGTCCCTAAACTGTATATGCAGAAATTGTTAAACTGGTGTATGTTCTGCTGTGTATATTCTCAACAGCAACAAAAATTAACAAAATTATTTTTTTAAAAAAGAGGCAAGGCAACATATACTGGAAAACAAAATTTAAATAAGGCATCAGAGACCCCCCTTTTAAAGAGAGTTAATTACCAGATAAGTCCACAGATCAAATGATAACATGGTCCCAAGATATTTACATATCATTAAACTTTAGTTACAATACTCATAGTTGAGTTGATTATCCCATAGCAATTTTTTCCAAGCCTGGTTTCTCTGTACAGGGATTCATTTTTATCACGTCCATTTCAATACAGAAAAAACAGGGGTTGAAGCATGACGGTGGGCCAAAACAAAAAAAAAACAATGAACATGATGCCTGAAATGATTTTAAAACATTTGGAAGCATATGATCAGTAACTCAGAAAACAAAGGCAGAAGAAATAATAATCATTACATTGGGGGCATGACTCACTTGCTTTTTTTTAAAGAAGATTGCTACTACTACCCTTTTTAACCCATTTCTTTAAAAAGGAAAATTAATCACAGAATAGTTGACGAGGTTCAAAATAAATTAGTGACAACTAAAAATAGCATACAGGTCTGCTAACTTCTAGGCCAGTGTCTTTCTGCTACAAAGCATCATTGGTGTCTTATAGCATGGGGGGAAATGGAACATGAACGTTATGGCATTTGAAAGCCTGGAGCTGAGACTGTCACCAGAAAACACACATGGAGAAAGCATTAAATGTGGAAATGTGAAAACCTATTTTAAGTTCATAAATCAGAATGTTGAGTTTCCAGGGAACAGTCATATTCAATCCAGTTTTCCACTCCTCCGGACTTGGGTTGCTGCTAGCACTTGATGAATGCTGCTTATTTAAAAGATGTCATTTGCTGCAATGTTTGTCTTTAAACAGATGTGCTGTTTCTCCAGAGCCACGTGAGCTGTCCCAGTAGGAATGGCATGAGGATACTGGTATGGACTCAGCTTCCTTAACCCCTCCAGGGTCCCAAAATGCCCTAAATCAGTACATGCTCTATTTTTTCTCCCTTGTAACAAAATACACAATAAACACAGGAGCAGTCTTATTTGTGAGAATTGCCACTTAAAGAAAGAAACCTAAAATCCCCTCAAGGATTAGGCAGTAATTTGTCTGTATTACATGGCAATTAATTTGGTGTTCTTCTTTGTTTGGTACCTCCAATTTAAACTCTTGATTAAGAAAGCACATGTGCTATATATACTGATAGAAGAGGCTCTATTCCCCTCCACTTCTGTCTTTTGATTGGGCAACCCATCCAAAATTGCTACATTCTAGGAAAACCTTTCATAAATTCCATATATCATAAATCCGGTGTTTGAACTGGCAATAAGAAAATACTATATTCCCTCAGTTAAAATTAGTAAGTTACATGATCATGAATAATAAAATGGATGGGTATTTAATTGTGGCTTTTGAATTCCCTAACTCTGAGTTTTCAAATTCACTAATTACTTCCAATTACAATGGGTTTAAAACAGATATTAAGCTGGTCATTCACTCTTTCATGTCACCAAAGCTTGATACTAAGTGTGCAAATTGTTGGTAATGTTTTGGAGTACTGAATGGTATGCAATACTTCTGTATAAATAAGTTACTTACTTGATCAATCCATCTTCCATGTATATGTCTGCATAGAATGACTGGTCATCATTAACAATTTTACCTCCTTTGATGAGAAGACGATCGCTCTGAAACACAGCAGAAGGGAGGTGTGAGATCAAAAGTCATGTTCACAATGAGTTCAATGACAAAGGGGAGCCTGGACGCGTTAATCTATTTCTCTCCTGATGAATCAGAAGAATATACTGGTAATGTTATGTCCTAGGTAAAAACAACCATCACTCTTAATTAGACCTGCAAAGCACAGGTGGGGAGAGGGAAGTCTTACAGTCTTCTTCTGGATAGCAGTGGTAAAGAAGAGACCGATTAATCTTCATTTTAAAAATAAAATAAACCCACATGTAGGGAAACCACTTCTTGGCAAAGTTTGTGTCAGGGAAACAGACCAGAAGTAGAAGTCTATTGTCGTGTGATCCTTTACACAAACACAGTTCAAACACAGAAAAGTTTCAATTAAGTATGTCCTTATATTTACATTTATCTTTGAGATAAATCCCAGTGATTGTAGCAAAAAAGGGGATGGACTTCATGAGACATCATTTTAACTATTAAGGTGTTGAGAAAATAGTAAAGTTTTATTATATAGTAGTTGATATGGCAAATTCTAAAATCTAATGTCACTATGAATTGTTGATGTATTTTTATCACAATCAACGGTATTTCTGTAAGAAATATTTGACAGGTAGCATGTGAGGCCAGGGATGTAACAGAAATGCTACATTGTAATTCACTGCTACCCTAATATTGTTGATGAAATGGAAAGGAATGGTAAAATCCTGTGTTCAAGTGAATCTGTACCTAAATTATTCCAGGCTGGGTTTAAACTCTACAAATGGAACCATATATTTCCCTGTTAAAATGCAAAACATTTAAAATGATGACATTTGTTTTGACAATGGTTAGCTCAAACTTCAGTTACAAACCAATGAAGCAAGTGCAATTTACAGCACATACCAAGCAAAGTAAATTACAGTAAACCTTAAAAAATATGCAAGCTACTAGAAAACTAAGTAAGAAAATAGTTATTTTTACACATAAGTGAACACACACCAATTGGTTTCTCCATGTAGCTAACACAAGATAAGCTAACCACAAGATCGGTGGTTCAAACCCACCAGCCATTCCTCAGAAACCCTTTACAGGGTTGCTATAAGCGTGGCACTGTGGGTTAATGCACTCTTAAAGTTAGTTTGCACCACAAGGTCGGCTGTTCAAGCTCACCAGTTGCTCCTCGGAAACCCTATACAGGTCCACTTATGAATCAGGATGGACTCAACGGCACTTAACAAGTTGGAACTGACTTGAGGGCACTTAACAACCAAAACAAATATCAGAAAACAGTAAGTTCATTTTAAATTGGCACACTGTGGAGCCTTTTATCCTGTAGACTTGACACAGCCAAAGAGGAATAAACATTCAACAATTCCTGCACTTGTATACAGTAGAGAAAGACCTCTACAAAATCCTGTCATGTACATCATGACATAGGAGCCTCAAAACAAATCTGTGAAGTGTGCTGAGCCAGATTCTTATCCCCAAGGGTGATAAGAAAACTGAGGCTCAGAAAGGCTACGTGCCACTCACCCAAGGTCACCTGAGTTTCTGTAGACACTATTGCCACCTTCCCTCCAAAGTCACTCCTTTTGACAGAATAAATCTCAACTTGGAAGCAAGGGGGATGCCTTAGTCACTGCAATACCTGTCCCAGCCATCACCACAACTCCCAAGCCAGTATCATAAAAAAGGAAAAAGAAATGAAAGCATCAGAGCCCAGTTCACCCTAGAACCTTCCAGAGGCTTCTTATATAAGAGGCTAGCCTGCGCGATGGTGGGATGGAAACAATGCTATATAGGTCCTAGGCTAATGGCACAAATTTTTCTTAACGGTGGACAGGCACACTTTAAAATATCAGTCTTGTTGATTGCCTGCTTGAAAAATAAAATTCCCTCTCATCCTATGAAAATGAAACTGCCTTACTTGTCCATTCACTAAGACAGCAAATGATATGAGGTTTACAGCAAACCTGCTTCCCACCCCCATGCCTCAGACTGCAAGTGCAGATTTCTTCCTCCAGCACAGGCCACAACTAATGTCAGGTCTCCCCAAACCCAGCTTTTTTAGATCTTGGGTATTTTGCCTTCATTCTCACGGTAGAACCACCTAGTTTACCCGAAAAAACGTTCCGAGCACACGCCCCCTCCCCTGTGCATTCGTTCCCACTTTTCTCTCCTGCAGATGGGTGTGCCCTACTGCATCCTGCAGAAGCCAGGGGATCCCCAGCTTAAAATGAAACCAGAAAGCGAAAATGTGCACCTAAATCCATATACATATCTTGACTATTTTGAGTCTTTCTGTCTCTGCCTCAGCCCTGGGTTCAACCCAGGAATCAGCTGGCCAATTGCAATTGCACATCATTATATAACAATGCATTTCCCTCGCTTTCCTTCCTCCCTGGGGTTTCATTTGGGGATGTAGTGAAGTACAATTTGTGAGATTTTTTTTTCCAGAAAAAGATGGAAGGGAGGGGGAAAGGATAGCGGTGAGAACCACAACTCAAATTCATCTCTGAAGCATCGCAAATTTACGTCATAGATGTTTTTCCATGATTTAAAAAATAATATTCACAGGCCCCAGAACTTCGACCGATAGCTCCCGGCCGTTACCATCATTGTGTGGCAGGGCCAGGGCCGGGCCATCTGCTCCAAGTCCGTGCAGCGCCATTACCTCCTCAAACCCGGCTCGGGCGCTGTCCCCTGCGCCCACCTCCCAGCCGCTTTGTATGCGCCAACACGAACGCCTCCTAGGCTGCAGAAGGAGCAAGAGACAAACCAGAAAGGGAGCCCAAAGGCGAGCCAAGATGCCAGTTTCAAACCAGAGAACGAGAACACCGAGAGAGCCACCAAAAAAAAAAAAGGTCCCTGATCAACAAAAAGCCAATGCCTGACTCCCACCCTCTAACTTAGCTCATCACAGCATCCCTGCTTTTCCTTCCACATCATTCTGGTACACCCTGCCCTTTCAGCATCCCTCTGCTGTCATTACGCCTCCGGGCTGAAACCCGCTTTTTCTAAGGAGCCAGAGGAAAGCTCGAGAACGCCCTTCATCGTGGGGGCGGGAGCGACCACGGCGAGTAGCCACTTCCCCATCTCCCCAATGCTTCTCCAGTAATCTAGCCTCGCAGCACGCAGCCGGGAGAACAATATCCGAGCTCCAACCATGCATATTCAATCTGGCATCCATTTGCTTACACCCTACAGGCCAGCACTGCAGCATCTTGCTTTGACAATAAAAGGATACAGCGGTTCTGGCGCGCTACCTAAAACAATCTTAATGCACTTTTGCTCCTATTTCAGTGCCTTGAGAATTGTGTGGCTTATCATTCTTTATTTATCATTGTTCCCCCTCCCCACCTCTGCCTTCATTAGCAATGGGGGGGAGGGGAGTTGCACCCCTTTTCCTCCACCCCCATCCTGTTTAAATATTACATAGATGTTCTGTTAATACAAAAGGTTGCTGCTGGCAGACCCCAGATTTTCCAAGTACCAAACTCACCGTGATGCGTGGAATATTTTTCTTCCCCTGATAAGACATTTCTCTCCTGGGAAAAAAATAATTTCAAGAGGGCAGCTTTAAAGCAAAAATTCCCGGGAAAGGGACTTGGTATTTTTGCGGGATTGAAAAAGGTGCAACCGTTTAGCTGATCTTGCTGGTAGAAAATCCTAGGAACGGAAGGGACAAATGCAATCCTCTGTCTTTCTCTTTCTTCCTCTCTTCCAACACAGCCCCAGCTAGGGCGGAAAAAAAGAAAGAACAGGAGGGAAGGGGGTGGAAATAAACTAGAGCAATAAAAGCCTCGGTTCAAGTCTGCCACCGCAGCGCATGCGCTGACAGCCACTCCCTTTCCTCTTAGGCAAAAGCCATCCGCTTCGAGAAAGACGAGCACTGATTGGCTAAAATTGTGGGATATGTAAATGAAGGCAAGTGGGGAGGGTTGCTGAGAGAAAGCGCGAAATGCTGCAGCGAAAGGCGGAGGGCGGCGGTCGGTGCGTGCGCCCGAGTTGGGAGCGCGCTTTTCGCGCCCTTTCTTTGGGCCTATACAGAGGGAACTGTGGCTGGCGGCAGGTCGAAACGCCGTCTCAAAAAACTCAGGGACAATAGAGGAAAGGTCATTATCGACAGGGAGAGCAAAACCCCAAGGAGGCTGAAGCTGTAGTGCAGCTCTTGCAGCACGCACAGACTCGCGCGCGCACAGATGGATACCCGCCCGCGCGCCAATCCGCGGAGGCAGCCGCTGCATCCCTGCGTGGGGTGACTGCGCCGAGCCAATGGCTTCGCTGGCGGCGAGCTCGCGACTGCACCGCTGGCCGGCGCTGAACGGGCCCGGGAGGGGCTGCACAGGCCTCCTCCCACCCGCCCTTTCCTTTCGCGAAAGCTCTCTCGGCCTCCACCCTGGAATTGACTGGGGAATTCAAATTGCTGCGAGAAAAAGGAAGGCAAACTGGGTGGGTAGGGCGCTTGGATGCGCAGAGCCGACCACGCCCATCCTTCCCCGAGTCCAAGGAAGGGTCGACCTGGACGGGTGCCTGCGAGATGAGCTGTACCGGGTAGGCTTCCGACGCCGGCGCTGTGTGTCTGGGAGTTGAGCTGGGCTCCTGGATTCCAGGAGGTGGGAGCACGGAAGACATGAGACTGGAAAAAAGAAATCTAGCCTGAGGTCATTCAAGCACTGGGTTCCAGGCATCCGTTGCTAGCAATGAAAGCCCTTAAGTCCTTGCTATTCAGGGTAGAGAAAGGGAGGAATTGTGAGGAAAGCTGTAGTGGGCTGTTGGTCTGGGGGGAAACCCTGTTGTTTTGTGCCATTAGGTCACTAAGAACTGTAAGGGCACACACACAGAGTGACAACAGCAGCCACTTGGGGTAAAATGGACCCAGTTTAGCACCCTGTTCACAACCCCAACAAACCAGTCTTAAAACAGTGAGGTGCGTGGAAGGGTGGAAATACAGGTCTTGCTGGTACCTGCAAAACTGTTGAGGTAGGATGTTGGTATTACAGCGCCCAAGGAACCT